GTTCTCAAGAGTGCCATCAGTGTCCTATCAGAATACAGTTGTATCTGAAAATAAATAAAATATCTGAAGACAGATAATCCAGTACGGAAAATCCCAATGCAATTCATGTTATAACAATCTACATGAAATATAGATTAGACCGAGCAGAGAAATGAATGAAAAATCAAATCGTTTTGTAAGCTTAAAGAAGTTAATGATGTAATGCCTTCAAAGCATGGTTGAACAATAAACATGCCAGGCATGGATGGAGACGTATTTTACAACAAAACGGCCACCAATTTGCCATCTTTGGTCAAAATGTTTCCCGGCGAAACTAGTGCAACCTTTCATCTGTTTTTATATATTTTTCTTAATTTTTTTTATATTTTAAAGAAATTATGAAAAAATTTAGTTGGTTCAAATTTTTGAATGGTAAAAAAAAAAAGTTACATTATGCAAATCAAATTTATCATGCCCTTGCTAGTGCTGACTAGTTTGCATACCAAGCCTCATTTTCAGGCCTGTAATGGTGCAATGTATACATGTACAATTCGTTGGCAATACATTGTGTCAATGTGAAATTGAAGCTTAGAGAGCAAATAGTCAACAATGTCCGTGGCGTGATAATAGCAAATTGTTGAATTGTTTTCATTTTACGGATAATCTTATACATACCAGAGTAAGAGACATTGAAATATATGTATATGAAAAATCTACTGAAACAGGGCCGCTAATCAGCCATTTTAGACCTTATTGGGCTTTAAGTATACATTCAATGTATCTGTGTAAAGAAATCAGTCCACACATCTTTAAGTTTTTCATTGATTTATTCTTTTTAAACTGTCTTACTTTTTACAGAGTGGTCCCATGCCTTCTAGAGGCTGTAGTATACCACTAGACGACTCGCTATGACACAAATACAATGCAGATGGTTTGTGTTCTTTAAGTCCCTGAAAACAAACATAAAAGTTCCTGGTTTTGTTAATTATTACTATACATTGCACAAGATGAAAAAAAAAAATCTTTTTCCCACATGAAAATATAACAAGACAACCACCAAACCATTATGTAATGTCATACTGACAACTGTAATTATGCGTCTTTGCAAAATAGAATAGAACAGATCCTGGAATGTTGTAATTGCTTGATTGAGAGTTTTCATTGTATTGATACAAGAACATATCTAGTCTTCCATATCTCAGCCTTGCATACATGTACATGCTAACTACATGGTACCCGACTAAGGAGAAACACTGAAAACATTACTTACCTTTTCAATATCATCAAGTGAAAAAACTTCACCTAGTGGTTTACTTATTCTTCTTACATCGGCACCTACAAGTAGAAATATGATGATACTAAACACGATAAACCAAAACATTTCTAACACAAACTATGGCTGTCTCACCATAACCTCATAACTGCATTTCAAAATGAGTCTACAAACCTAACCTAATCTATCTGCCAAGTCCGCAGCTCTTTCTCCCCATAGTCCCTTCACAGCTGACATAAAAACTTCTCCTCGTTCTATGATATTCATAAGAGCAGCTTCCATGCCAGCGTGTCCAGTACCACTAATAGCAAAGGTTACAGGATTCTTGGTTTGAAATGCATACTGCAATCCAGCCTTGATGTCATCCATTACCTAATAAGGAATAATTTATACCATTAATTACCTAATACGGAATAATTTATACCAGCTGTTACCTAATAAGGAATAATTTATACCAGCAATTACCTAATAAGGAATAATTTATACCAGCTGTTACCTAATAAGGAATAATTTATACCAGCAATTACCTAATAAGGAATAATTTATACCATCCATTACCTAATAAGGAATAATTTATACATGTACCAGCCATCACCTAATAAAGAATAATCATAACACCTACTTAGGACTAATTTATCGTACACAGACAACTTATTTAGAACGCAGACACCCTTTTGCCATACACGTAATTACATGTGCTACAAATAGACCAAACACTGTAACCTTGTTATAAAAACTCTTTGAGGACATAGCTTTAGTTTGTTATAGAGAAGTGTTCCCTATAATGAAGCACGTAATACACTAGATTTTATGAGCAGCAGAAATGCAATGTGTCAATTATATCAGGAACTTTCTTTAATATAAATGTTTGTTATAACGAGGTTGCTGAGTAGTTAAATAGTAATAATACCATAAGATGGAAAAAAACATTTTCTGAATTTTAGCATTCTGAAAAGTGGTAGTATTTTGTAGGAACCAGTATACAAAATCTCTAAATGATCAAGGAATATGGTTTTTGGAAAGACTTAAGTCCCCACCTCCCCAATCCCTAATCTAAACCCGAACACACCATCCCACATTGCAATTGTATATGTACCTCCAGATCCAGATAATTATAAATATACTGAAGAGGAGAATATACAATGAGATAGGGGGCACTGGAGAGGTAAGTTTAGGAATAGAGTTGGGAGTGAAGAAGCCCAAATTGAACTGTCATTATGGTTAATTTGATTGAAAAATATCTAGACATTTTACATAAATAGAACACAGTCAAGACATTATGCTCCAGTCGTTTCATCCCTGACTCAACTCACTCTGGGGAAGAGTGGGGTAAATGTTTCACTTCTGGGGCAAGTACATCAGGCAAATTTAGAACGCTATTCAATGGACTGATTTCAACAGAAAATTGTGACTACACATCTGTGGATATATAGCCCCCTGCCTGTGCTAAATATGCTGGTTATTGCCAGACTCCAGGTCAAAATGTTATAATGGTGATTACCCTCCACAGGGCTAAGTTTGGTA